AGGGTGATTTTTAAAACTGATATTGTGCAAACATTTTTGCCTGAGAAATATGAACTTGTTCTGTGAAGGTAGAGGAAGAGCTTAGGGATACTGGAAGAAACAGTCAAGTGCTACCCGTTGTCTGTCAATCATTGAAGAGTGAGGACACATGTAGCAGGTTGGAGATCAAAGCAATGAAATGATAGGTGCAGTGGCCTGGGGACAGAATGCAGCATGCCTGAAAGAGCATTAGGAAGATAGCCCTGTGGTATTACTTTGCTAGCCTATTGTACTGCATTCAACGTTTAAAAATTATGTAATAAGTAAATTAAGCTACTTATACGTTTAACAATAAGTAGCCTCCACTGTATATTAAATTACACAGAGAGCAATGGATTCGTGAGATTGAGTTAGAAAGATAGAAAGGGATCAATTAAAGGTCTACAAAACAATTGTGAACAGAGTTCCACCGAAAAGCATATCCAAGATGGGGCTCTGATATCTCACTGTCCTAAAGCTATTGAATCTTCACAGTTCTGCCATAAAAAATGCAACATTTACAATTCATCCTTAGGTGTCGGCCTGATTCAGATGGTAGCACTCCTGCCTCTGAGTGGGTTGTAGGTTCAAGCCCACGTTGGGACTTTCAACTTACAGTCCAGGCTCGCGCTCCAATACAGTGCGCGGGGAATGTTGCATTGTCGGATGTTTCATTCTTCAGATGAGACATTAAACTAACCATATGCTTCTTTGGATGGATGTTAAGGATTCCATGGCACTAGTTGAAAAGAGAAGGTGTCGAGGCCAACAATCCCCAGACGAAATTGGTCATTCACTTCATTTCTGCTTGAGGGGCATTGCCTTTGACCAACTGGCTGAGAGTTCTGCGTACAACATTCACAGTCACTACACTTTAAAGCAAATCCTGTGAAGCGCTTTGAGTCATCCTCCCGATATGAAAGGTGCTACCATATATCAAATACAAAGGATTATTTTATTTATTTAGAGAACCAGGAACTTGAAAAGGAAGGTAACAGTCACTGTAGCTTAAACATGCTGAGGTCTTGCTGTTGGTGAAATTATTTAGACATTCCCCAGACATGTGATTAAAAAATGTTGATGGACTTTTTCATTCTCTGTTTTTTTGACTTCTCTGGCAGGTTGTCTTGACCTGGGTGATTCCCCCTGGTAGTCCTGCTGTACAAACTGTAAATAAAATGGAAATTCTGTAATGTTTGTTGCAGAAGATCGGCAGTCAGAAGGTGAAGATGGTGCAAGATTCTGGATGAAAATTCTCCGTCTCTGGAAAAAGTCAAACGAAACATTAACTTGATTGTAGGTAGTGCGGTGAAATTACTTTCAACTTCTTTTAACTTAGTATTCTTGCTTTATAAACGCTGTAAATCGGCACTGTTGATCTTTAAAGTTTAAATACCAACAAACTACTTATTTACATATTTTCTGGGAAGAATAACTCTGAAGTGGAACACTGGCTTATTGTCCTTTCACAAACAAGACGCACTGATATCAATCGTAGCACCTTTACTGTTACCTGACTGAAGTCATCTGATTCAGAACAGCCCACTAATTGAATCTTGTTTTTTTTAGATCTATATGGCTATTTCACTTGGAGCAGTGACTTTATTAACTGAACCATCATGGGAGTATAACTAAAAGAGGGCACAAAGAAAACTATTACATTTAATCATACTTATCTACAGTGGTTTTGACTTTCAAAAGGGATCTTTATATGACTGACTGTAAAATGCTATTTTTTTTAACTATTGGCCCCATGCTCTTGTTCTAGAATATTCTAGATGTTTTGGGATCTTCCAATGTTTTCAATGAAATGGTCAAATTAAGCTCATTTAAATCTTATTTGTTTCTGGAATATATTTATGAATTAGCTGCTAGATTTGCACAGAACAACACCACAACAATTAGCATCAAATTGGGAGGAAAAAAATATGACCTTTTACCATGGTTGGAATTCTCTGTTAATAATAAAATTGCACAAAGATTAATAGAAGCACTGGGGAAAGGGAAAATCAAGATTGTTCTATATTATATTACTCGCATCTGTGAAGTGTGTCTCTGCTTTCTCAAATTCCTGTTTATCTTCTTGCTAAAGGAGAAGATTAGACTGACTAAAAAAACATAGCAGTAAAAATCTGCATTCCTCTTAGGCTCCGACACTTGGAAGGGTGCCAACATTTTATTAAATGTTGTTTCTCAGTCTAAATAAGTTATGATGTTCACTTACCTGACTTCACATTATAGTTATCTGATCTGAAGTATATGACTCATCAAGTTTTCAGAGAAATGTTTAAAGGTAACGTTACTGTCTTTAGATAATTTTTTTTATTTGCATTGTTTTTATCTAATACATGTGTTTGGATGGGTTGTCAAATAATGAGCAGTAAAACATATCAACTTACTAATTTAATTTATAATGTGATAAACTATATTTTTTTCCTGTCAACTTTTCTTCATACAATTTAAGAACATTTTTGTGTTTATGTAATGATCTTGTAATGATGGAAAACAATGTCAAGATTAAATTAAATTATTATTGTTTGTTAACTGATTTTCAACATGTATTCATATGACACTCCAACTAGTAAAATGCCATTATAGAAAGAGAAAATTCATGTATCACCCAGTTTAAATTATCTCTTCCCAGAGGTACTTGTTAAAACAAATTTTGTTTTTTTTCTTGCTCATTCCAATTTAATAATATAGAATTTTACTTCTTTTGAGCAAGGCCAGTAACACAAAAGCAACCTTGCACTCAAACAACATGTTGATGATTTGGGCACTGGTTCAAAATAGATTTGAAGCTGCAGCATGATTTGTGTTCAGAGAATCAAACACACTTCCTATAGTTCATCAAAGGGAAGATATTCAAGAGGATAAACAAAAATACCTCAGTAAGAAAAATGTCTTTTATCATTTATGAAAGTCAGAATCGAGTATTAAATATTAATTTTTTTTAAAAATGTTAGCCAAGTATTTTGAAAGTAACACTAAAAGTAGTTGACTCAAAGGAATAAAGATTCATGAGTATGGATCCTATAGACCATCTGTGAACTCCAATTGTGCATTTAAAAAACGGAGTAAGAAGAGATTTCCTGGAGTTTAACTAGTTTTAGATGGGTCAAGGCTCTTTTTGGAAGTGAGCCTTTGATAGCATCATTGACTTACATATATTAGTAGAAGGAAGCATCTGTAAAGCTGAACTAAACTGAAGAGCCTGTACAAAAGATGGGTCCAAATATGTTTGTAAAATATCATTGATAAAGTGCGAGTATTCATTGTACTGTGTCATGTTATGGGGGTAATTATGGACCTTCTTTGTTCTTATCCAACTATTATTAAGTTGGAGGACTGTTTATTTGATAATTTAATAAGTTTGTCACGAAAGCTGAACCAATCGTGCTGATTTTGTAATGATTTATTTTCTGCAGTCTCTACTGGCAAGTCTGTTTTATGGGTTATCTAACAATCGAATTTTGAGAAAACCTTTTTTTAATATATATATATACACTGTTGCTGCATAGATTGTTGTCATCCGATTCAGAAATAATTTGATAGTGCAACTTACATATTATCATCATTACCTTTTACGATCGCTAAATAACATCACCTAAGCACACAATAAAAAAAACCTTAAACAACAATAGGGCGGCACAATTGGCCATCAAATTATCACAGTTAGTAGTCTAACTCTTGTTTTATGGGTGCGTTTAAAGTTTATACCGTTCAGTAGTCATCCCTTCAAGAAAAAATAATAAATCGCTCATTCAATCCGCCACATTTTTTTGGAGGACACTGCTGTGCGCCGTTGCTTCCCCCGCGCTAAAACAAAATAAAGAATCCACTTTACGGTACGTTTACCCTGTGAAGCGCTTCGAGAAGTCTGGAGGACGCGATAAGGCGCTGGACCAAATGCAAGGATTATTATTATTATTATTATTATATTCACACGTTTGTTTTCATTTGAAAGAGTCGGCATCTAAGCCTCACTCTTTCTCCCTTATTATTATTATTATTATTATTATTATTATTATTATTATTATTATCATTCCTCTCCCCTGGCCACTCCAAACCCAAGGCTGCCAGGTCGCTAAGGACGCCTTTCCCAGTGGCAGCTGATGACTGAGGTCCCAACTTTGGTCCCAACTGGTGTCACTTTTGCCACCAGCTGTGCTGAAGCCCCGCCCTCTCGCCCGATTCGGCCTCGCGATTGGTCGAGCGCCGGTGTCGATCACGAGAGCGACCCCGCCCGCCCACCCACGCGCCCCGCCCCCTCCGCTCCGCCCCGGCCTCCGCCCGCCCCTCGAGAGGTCCTCGGGATTGGGGCGGGGCGTCCCGCCCAATCGGGCGCGTTTGTGCGTGGCAACGGCCAGGGCCGCCGCGCGACCGGAAAGGGGTCCGATTCAAAATCCTTTTNAAAAAAACCTGCGGGAAAATAAAACGCGAAGGGAGAAGAGGGGAGAGGGGGGGTGGGGGGCACGGGATGAGCTTCGCAGCGTCCAAAAAAAACACACGCACACACACAAAAAAAGAAAAGAAAACAGGGCCCCAACGGTGATGGGACAATTGGGCTACTTTTGGGCTCGGGGGGGGGAGGAGGAGGAGGCGGGTGGTCGGCGCAGGCGCAGTGGAGACCTGCGCAGCCAATGGTGAGGCGGTGCCCCGCGTCCACAGGTTGCGGAGGCAAACACAAATGTCGGTTGGAAGCAACGACTCTCTCTGTGTGTGTGTGTGTGTGTGTGTCCCTCTCTCCCTCTCCCTCTCTCTCTCGCTCTATCCTCCCATAATAAATAGCTCCTGGTTAGCCCTCCTCCCTCCCTCCACTCCACTCTCCTCTCCTCGAATCCCCCTTCACTCCCCCCCCCCCCCCCGCCCCCCCCCAACGGGTTTTCTTATTTAAATTTCAACCGTATTAACGGTCGTCGTCCTCCACCCGCGGGTTGGGGGGGGGGGGAGGAGAGGGAGAGGGGGAGGGGAGGGGGAAGATGAGTGGGAGCGACGAGCAGTGGTCCAGATGTGGCCAAGGCCTCGGCGCCAGAGATTCCACGTTCACTGCACCGACAGACGGAGGAGGTGAGAGCCCGGGCCCAGTGTGAGATGATGATGATGATGGTGGTGGTGGTGATGGTGGTGGTGGTGGTGGTGGGAGAGAGGGGGCGGTGGTGGTGGTGAGTGTTGGATTGCTGGATGATGATGATGATGATGATGATGATGATAATCCTTGCGTTTGGATGGAGCCGCCTCAGCGGGGTCTTCGAGACGGCTCGAAGCGCTTCGCGTGCCGGGCGCCCCGGGAGTGAGCCGACGACCGGGCGTCGGTGTGGCCCGGACCGACCTCGTGCCGCTTTCGGATCAATCCGCCCCGTTTAAAGCTCCCGGGTCCGGGCTCAGGCGCAGGTTACCGAGGTCCCGAGGCGCTCGCTGCTTGGGAAGCGAGGGAAGTTTCCGCCTGTTTTCCGGCCGGCGCCCACCATGAGGTTAGCCGGGCAGGCGGCTGTTTTGCGGGAGATGCTTCCGCGCGGAAATTTGCCGTTGCGTTGGTACAGTGGGCGATGCTCTTCGACGGTGAGCTGTGCGGAAAAATCCTGCGGTGCCCTTTGAGATGTCCCGGCGGAGTGACGTCTCGCTCGGATGCAAGGATTGTTATCGTTATTGTTAGAAACCGACAGGTGTTTTTTGTTTTGCGCAAGTGTTTACCCTTTTAAAATAAACAAGTGCCTCTCTTTCGCAATCGCATTGGATACATTTGTCAAAAAAGTAAACTTGTGGCCGTTTTCTGTTCCTATAATAATAATAATAATAATAATCCTTGCATTTGATATAGCGCTTTTCACGTCGGGAGGACGTCCCAAAGCGCTTCACAGAACACACTGTAAAGTGAATTGACTGTATATTTGTGGGCGAACACGGCAGCCAATTGCGCACAGCAATGTCCCACAAACAGTCGTAGATTGAAAATGACCAATTTATTATTGTTTTTTGTTTTGGAGGGATTATTGTTCCTACTGTTTGACCGAGAAGTTGAGTGTAGAAAGCCAGTTTCAAAATTCTTAGTACTGTTTCTCAAAATTAAATGTTTTTGCCAGCAGCACCTTGTTTCATTTGTGAAAATATATAATCTGTAATTTACCAGATACGTGGTGGTTCATTATTACAAATTCTTTCATTTACTCGTTGATTTGCTCTAAATGGATGAGTGGGAGTGGTAAACTTCAAAACACGCATCAACTATTTCAGAGAATAATAAATGATCAATCTATTTATCATTCTAGTATTCTTATAATAATAGGTAACAATAATCAAGGTTGGAAATTTAAATTGGTTCTCTAATCCACTCATTTGAAAAGTAGTGGACTGTTTGAATGTGTGGCCACTATATTTCCACCACGTTTCTTGATCTTGAGTTTGCCATTTGGGTAAGATGTCAAATGGAGGCAAATTTATAAGGTCATGGAAAAATGATGATGGAATTGGATTTCTTTCATGGATTATCTCTGCCTGGTTCAAGAGCAAAATTGATGTCCCATTGACCCTGATCATTGGCTCTGTGCAGTATGGAACTGAGTCATGTTGACTAGGAAGGCTCCAGGGTTTAATGCAAGGTTAGTATAATTGTCTTCTGAGCTGAGATAACCAGCACTCCCGATCTTAATCCTGCTTCTTTTTCCATATCCCTCCTCGAAATAATGCAAAATTTGCATTATTACAGCGGAATTTGTGCAGCTATAATGCTTCACATGCTGCATAGAATGTGTGCATTTGCTGTATAGATTGACACATAAAGAATAAATGAACTCCTGGAGTACCCATTGAACCACATCTTAGTGACCTTCAGGAGATAGGAGGAGGAGAAAGAGAATGGACAATTTGTTACCCACAGTGAGGAGGCTTAGTTGTATCTTAATTCAAATTAAATGGTTGACACTATCAAGATGAATTTGCTTGACAAGAAACCTGGGTCCTTTTCTTGTATAGAGTTTCATGCTTTCAATTTGTATCTAGGTATTCCAGCTTCATCAAAATTAAAATGTGTTTTACTCAAATCCTTTTAGTATATAGGAAGAAGTAATAATTTATTTATACTTTTCATTCATATTTTGCAGGAAGTCTTGGTGGAGGGGCTGAAATAAGGAGTCATGAAGATGTTATTGTCCCTCGGCATGATGTGCAGAAACTGCTTGGTGAGTTCCGAGCACTACATCAGGAACGACTGCAGCGGTTAGAGGCTACAGATGATGGAACAGAAGAAACTCTTAAGGTTTGTTTCATTTTCTAGATGTATTAAGTTAGAAAACATTTGTTCTGAAAATATGTTTAGTGCTTTTAATGTTTGCTTATTAACTGCTTAATTGTGATAATAACCGAAATATAAAAATGTCATATTAGATAAATGTGCTCTATTAGAATAATGGTATACACTTTATGAAATGGCTAATCTAGTATTAGTTTACTCTTCCCATCTATTTTCTCGTTCCAGTACCAAATCCCTCTTTACATAAAATCTTTGCTCAGCCATTGAAAGTATTTAACGTAATCTGCTGTTGGGGAGGAAAGTGGAAAGGTCATTGGGGTGAAGTTTTGTACCACTCATCAAGAGAAGGGATGTTTGTGTGGGGAATATATATTTTCCTGTTTCAAATGCACAATAATTATAATTATCATTGAATTTAATACAGCACGTCAGGAGGACATCTCAAAGTGCTTCACGGGATTTCCTGTAAAGTTTGGTCACTGTATTTTGTAGGCAAAAACTAATTTGCACACAGCAATGTCACACAAACAGCTATGAAATGGATTTCAATTTTTATTTGAGGGATTGTTGGCCAGGACACCCTTCTCTTTTTGAATGATGCCATGGGATCTTTAAAATCCATCTGAACAAGCAGAAGGAAAGCACCACAACACAGCACATCCCCAGTACTGCATTAGAGTGTCATCCCAGACCACGAGAATTCAAAGTCTCAATGTGGGACTTGAATCCATAACCTTCTGATGTAAAGGTGAGAAAGCTATCAACTGAGGCAGGCTGGGACTTTGATATTTTTATCAATAAATCCCAGGTCAGATAATGCAGATTGTTGCAGAGCAGATGTCTGTACTCTGCCCAAATAATATTATTTAGTTTCAACATCAGAAGACCAGAACACCTACAGAATTTATAAGAATTTATGTGACAGACATGGTGTCTGAGTGAGAGTGTAATGTGTGTGTTGTGCCATACACACACACGTATGACTTTTATAGCCAGCACATTGAGGAGACTTAACCAACGAGTTTGTGTCCCAGAGGTGAAAGGACAGTATTAAAAATCACTGTGCCATTCAGTATCCAGTGTTTAAACTACTTAATTGCCCTTTCCTCCACTTGTCGAGTGAATAAAGCTGACTGAATAACTTATCCTCTTGCCACTTGTATATATTACTTGTGTATATTACATCAGCTTGAACACCTAAATTTAATAATTCTGTAAATTATATAGAAAGCAATTAAAGTTAGAGGTCCTCCAGCAAAGGTAAATTAATGTTGATTTACTTTTTTTTAAAACACAAATTCACGTTAGAAATATAGTTTCAGGTATTGGAAAATCAAGTTTATTACATTGATGGGTTAGTGAAAACTATTGAACATTATTGTACTGTAATAAAAGTGACATTTTAATCAATACTGTCAAGTGCATTAGTGTTTTAACATGGAAAAGCTTTTTGCTTCTGTTTAAGAAGGTTCATCGTTAGTTCTCTGCTGCGAGCTCTAAGAGTAAGCTGAGCATCAGAATTCAATTATTGCTGCTGTATGCTATGTAGCCATTCTACATCACAGCTTGCCAAAATTTCTATCACACTCAGACTGACTGGAGGAAATAGTCTTGCAAAGCTTGGCTACAATTTAACCGCAATCAGCACGAAGCAAACTTTTTTAACCTTACTTTTAATGTTTAAATAGGTCTAAGTATGACTTTTATCGAAGGCTTGTGATACTTGCCCCTGCTGTCTGGACTCCATCCCTTCACCTCATCCCTTCACCTCATCCCTTCACCTCATCCCTTCCCTCATCCTCTTTAACCATGCCTTCAGTCATCTTCCCACCCTCACCCCTCTTGAATCCAACCCACAGCTGGACTGCCCAGTGCCTTGGGACATTCTCCTGATATGAAAGGTACTATGTCAATGCAATTTTTTGTTGTTGTTTCTCAGTTTAAAAAAAAGTTAGTTGAAAAGCAAAGAAATAGAACATTAGGACAGTGGAAGTTTTGTGAAATTTATGCCACTTAAAGCAGGAGTTAAAATTATATAAGAAAAGGGGGTAAGAAAATTAATTGAATGTTACTTAATCGGTTATTATTACAGAGTTGAACCTCCTTTACAGATTAATATTAAGGCTATTTCCAAGTCTCAATATTGAAGCAAAATCCAGCAGTAGTACTCTTCGTGAACATTGTACACCAGCTTCCCCAGGTTCTGTGTTGTTATTCATTTGGCCTCAGAACAAATTGTTGAATTTTTATTTTTTACATAATGTATAGATCCACACACACACAACCTCTTAATTGCTTTTCCCATGTTTGGTTAATTTGGGCTGGTGAACAATGCATGTGATTTCAACTGCCTCTATTTTTAGTAATGTTATTGATTAAGCAAGCATGTTAGAACAGACTTAATAAAAACTAAGCATCTATCCATATCGTCAGTTTTTTTTAAACATTCCAATTTAATCTTAGTAAAACATCTTGTGGAGTCCTGTAGCTCAGTGGTTAGAGCACTCGCTTTGCAAGCGAGAGACCTGAGTTCAATTCCAGGCAGGATGAAACCTTGGGCAAGTTTCCTTACTCCACACGCCTAATAATAATCCCTCCAAAACCAAAAACAATAATAAATTGGTCATATTCAATCTACGACTGTTTGTGGGACATTGCTGTGCGCAATTGGCTGCCGCGTTCGCCCACAAATATAGTCAATTCACTTTACAGTGTGTTCTGTGAAGCGCTTTGGGACGTCCTCCCGACGTGAAAAGCGCTATATCAAATGCAAGGATTATTATTATTATTATCTTGGATTTTATAGCGTATAGCGTATTGTGAAGCAGGCCAGGATTCATTGTGGAGCTGGTCATGTGAGGATGAGGTCATCAAGATTTTGCATTGATGGAAGTGTTTGGATTGATCTACATGTGCACCAAATTATCAGGGACCACACTTTGTCATTTTGTTTTCCTTCCTACACAACGCTGATTTCTGAATATTGGTGCTAACTGCAAGATGGTATGTGTGGTCTGAATATGTCCAGTAAACACAAGCAAATGAACTTATATAGCGTATTATGTAGGTAAATTTAAACTTGCGTTCATTGTGATGCATGTGTTTACCATCATACCCACTAAGACTCTGAAGTAATGGTGAACACCAATACAATCTGAAGAGAGAGAATCTAAAAATGTTAATTGAATTACAATATGAACTTGAGTTACTTTACTGTGATAGGAAAGCCAATTTTCCCATCAGTATTGGAATGGTAGCTCAGCATTGTTCTTGATTATTAGATGAGATATCAGCATTAGGATCACTTTTATTTAGTCAGTAGTCAAAGAGAGAGATTGGTCTTATGAAACATCTTGAATAATGATTCATTTTTATCATCGAATTCAAATATTATTTTAACTGTTATATTGTTATTATAATTTCAATATAGGTGCAGTTTAGGCAGGTATTTCACTAACTGGGTGACTTAGCTGAAATGGTAACCAGTTGTAATAGCATTTACAAAGCCAACAATAACAGTGAAATGATTTTAGTTACAAGTACAGTATATGTTTTATTGTTAAAATGTAGTTCCTTTAAATGGAAATAGACAAAAGTGATTGATTTTTGTATGTTGAGCCAGTAGAACTGCCATGCTCATGTTTGTATTCTAAAAACAAAATGTCAAACTGGAAAAGGAAAATTAGTTACATACTCCATTAAAGGCATAACTGATTCTAAAAATGATTTAGAGTAGTGTAGGTTTCCCTATCAATATTTACATTTAAAGTTTTCAGCCTGTGTTACAGTGATAGCTGATCAATACTATCTACTGCTTTATGAATTTGTACTGAAGCAATAACCATGTATTTAGGAAGTGAATAAAGATTTTACGCTGACATGTTTCACACTGTAGAGAAATGTTAAAATCCCAGAGTGCACCCTTTTGAACCAATATCTGAAAATATTAACCCACTGGTGATGGCTTGTTTGAGGATGGCATTAGTCAGTGGTTTAATTCTTCTGTTTTTCTGGAAGAACAGTGTTACTGCTGAGCATGACATAAGAAGGTTTCATTTTTCAAAGCCATCTTTGGGGAATTTTTCAGTTTTACAGAAAAGTTCTCCAGTAGAGCTATTGGACCAATTCTTGAAGACGGTTTCTATTATATGCATAGTTAACAGTGTCATTGATACTTTAGGGCAGTTTTTAGTCCATGAATTTGTTTTAAAGGAATTAAGAATTGTTTTGAGTCTAGATCAAGGTCTTTAGAACCAACATATCATTGAGAGCAGTGAATACCCTTTTCAAGAGATTTGTTCAAATCTGGTTTGCTTTGGGATTGCATTTCCTCAGGTGAAATGTAGTATTGAGAGCAATATTTATTCAGCTATTCATAAAGAGTTTGCGAATTCATGCATGTTTCTAGTCTCTGTATGTCACAGTACTATGTGGTGATCTTTGACCACAAATCTATTGAGCTGTTCCAACAATTTTAGTGTGCAAGTGCTGTTCTCCTCGGGGAATGACTGCCAAAAATGCGATTGTCCAGGTAGTCTTTAAGTTACCGTAAATGGTGAAGCTTTAATAGATAATGCAACCACTCGTATTTGGATCAGAGCAAATCAGAAAGGGTATGGTTTAAATCCAGAAGGGTTCACTGTCATTTAGTTTTAAAATCATGTTAAATCGCATGGCATCTGTATTCTGTTCTCTAGTGCTACAGCGCAGTAAGAGACTCACTTACTTTAGAAGTAGAAGTGTTTGTTCTGATGAAATGCATACAATTAAATTCATCTACAGGGTGTCTATGACGATGACAGTGCAGCATTTTTCCATGCGTAGGGATGCATTTGTGAAAAAATTAAGATTTCTATCAGTTTAGAAGTGAACCAATATTGTTGCTGAATGTCAGAACTGTTTGCAGGGGGGTTGACTTGAATTTCTTGTTAGCCAGTAGTACTGCTGAGATAAGCCAAATATTTGTGCCATTAGTCCGGTCATTTTTCCGGTTAAATCTTTTATTGTTGTTGACGAGGGAAAACAATGTTAGGGTCATGATTTCCCTTTTTTATCTATTGTACTGCAGATAAATGCTAGGATCATTAAATTATCATAGATTTTGGTGTTTTCATGATACTGAAGCCTTGTGAAGAGAAGGGATCAGTAAAATGTTCAGTGGTTAACCTGTTTCATTGTGTGATTAGTCATGTAACGTGTTCAACACCATTGGTATTCTGACTGCTCATAAATGGATGAAATATTTAACGTGCATTTAATAAATACCTAACAAATCTGTTTTTAGAATTACTGAATCTTATGTAGAGTTCATTCACACCCGCAGATAATTGTCAAAGGGTTAAAATGAAGGAGACAATGATTATTTTAACAGATAAATGGGTTCGCTTCATTCTTTTCCATAGAGATGAGTGAAAGATACTTGGTCGAGCTGTTTAAGTGCTTTAACATGGTGTTCCTATTAGTTCTGATACCTGATCTGATCTTAATGCTACGGTGTATGAAAGATGGATAGATAATCCTGGCTGCCTACAGAGATTGATGGCTGGATTGATTGATCGTCTAATCATTTGAGGAAATGGGCCTGAAAATGAATGCAACTCTGCCCTTGGCTTTCAGGGAAAATTGCAAAGTTACAGGGTAATGTGCTAAGACAGGATTTCATTTGTACCTAATATGTGGTTATATGATCCCACACAATAGCTAAATGATTAAAAAAAAGGGAAATCAAACTATATTGCTTATTTAATTTTCAAATTGATACCTTTTGTGGATTAAGATCTGATGGCAGAGAAATGTCTAATTTTATATGTTGTATGTGGGACTGTTGGATTAGGGAATAGGAAGAGACGTGTCACTGATTTGTCCTGTTCATATAATTTGCCTTATTTCTGAAGTAGCATCAAGTAATGAAACCCAAAAGGAACGAATAATCAGTCTGATTTTACACCAAATTTTACTTAAATTTTTTAACCCATAAAGAAATGAATTTGCAGTCAGATTTCTCTTGTAGCTTTAGTGTTTAAAAAAAAGCTGACTGATATGTTACAACTGTATTCAAGAATCTACAACTTCCAGCGCCTTGGGACGTCCTCCTGACGTGAAAGGCGCTTTATAAATGGAATGTTGTTGAATCTTGTTGTTCCAGTAAAATAATATGGTTCAGGTGATGTAATATGTTTTTATGCTGAAATGTTTCTGCTTGGCATGGTAGGGTAAAGAGATAGCTAATCCATTTCCCCATCTTAGAAAGAGCCAACTGTATGAAAAAGGTACAATTCCAGAGAGAAGAGAAAAAATCATTGTATTTTACATGAATTCTTTTAATGTTTACGTGGTTTGTTTTTAATGATCAGTTTAAGCAAGTTACAGGAAGAGTTGCAGAAGTCTCCCACACTGTTTCTCTCGATGAGATTTCTTGGAAGAGGGGGAAGGGGAAGAGGCATCCTTAAAGAGGTAGGATTTAAAGTGGGACTGAAGGACAGAAAGACAGGGGGCAAGACGGAGTGGCAGAAGGAGGGAGTTTCAGAGGTTATGGGCATAGGAACTGAAGCCACCAATGGTGTTGTGGAAAGAGCTTGGTTGGGGAGTAAGCCTGATCTAGCTCAGTGGAAGTTATGAACGGAGGAGTAGGATAAGAGAAGATCACAGAGATAAGCAAGTGTCAGCGAGTGGATGGATTTGTAGGTGAGGGGAACAACCTTGAATCGATCTGCTATAGTGCTACGAAGTGCTTTTCTTTTCACTAACCTATTGCAATTTTATAAAAAAAACTTTCAGTATATGGACCCAGTGTTATTAAACAGATGAATGTTATTGGCATATTTAGATTGTGCTCATTAAGCAAGTTCACAAAGTTACAAACACAAAGTTTCATGAATGACTGCACAATTAATGTTTCTTAGCAGTTTCAAGTTAAACGTTTGGTGTGCCTTTTGATCTTTATAATTGCAAACAGCTGTGTGTGTATGTACTAGTAAGTTGTATTTATGTACTATACTTGTATTAAAAAGTTAAACATGTTCATGAATGTTATTTCAGGCCATTTATGTGTAAATGATGCATGCATTGGAAACATTAATTTATATAGATTGGCTTCTTGATAAGTACAGACACTTCTAGTGTGTTGCTTTTGTACTCGCAAGAAATGACAAGTAATTCCAAATAATGGAATTACTGATTATGTCCCTTAAAAAGTCGATTATAATTATTTAACAATTAAATCAGTTTTGTAACATGGTCCATATATTTACAGGTTTTCCACAATAGTTTGCATGACTTCCCTTAAATACCTAGATGTGGATGTACTTTAGAACAAGGGCATTATGAATGGATTGTTTCACTCAGACTGTACATTTAGCTATGACGGAAGGATTTCTGTTAACATTTGCAGGCTTATAACCATTTCTTTATCTCTAGGAAATGCTAAATATAAAAGTTGTCAATTGGAACTTTTCACAAATTTCCAGGACTTCACTACTCAACAAAAGCTTTTTTTCCTGCCTTGTATTTGTTTTATATTTTAGAAACTCACTTGTTTGAGGTTCATTAAACAGTACTATAGTGTTACTTACACTAGCAAGGCAGTTTTTTTTTCTGTATGTATACAACAACATTACATTTGTATAATGCATTTCACGTCAGGAGGACGTCCCAAAGCGCTGGACAGTATACAGCATTTCAGACCCGAGCTGGGGTTGGAGGGAGAAGGGAGTGGAAGGGGGGTGACCGATATCATGGTCGAAGAGGAGGATCTTGAAACGGGACTTGAAGGAGATTAAGGAGTGGGTGAGCTGGAGTGATTGGGGGATAGAATTCCAGAGGCTGGGGGCAGAGTGGCTGAAGGCTCTCCTGCCAATGCTGGGGTGGGTTGGGGGACGTGGAGCAGGCCGGAGCCAGCTGAGCGGATGGAGCGGGTGGGTTAGTAGGGGGTTAGGAGGTCGCAGAGGTAGGGTGTGGCGAGGCCATGGAGGGCTTTGTACATGAGGACCAGAATCTTGAACTGGATCCTCTGAAGGATAGGGAGCCAATGGACAATCTCATCCAGCCCTATTCTCGTACTGCAATCTCCAATGTGGTTTATTGCTCATTTATCATTCTCTCCATCTCACCATTAGTGCCCATGTCTTCAGCTATGTCTTTAGTTATTATGGCACTTTTATTTGAAGACCAACACAAATATTGTGGTATTCTCAAGAAAAAAATTATCACTAATTCTGTATTGTTTTTTTTCCCTTTGTTTAGTTGAAGGTGCAGATTATGCAGTCTTATATCAGTGACCTGAGTGAACAAAATGATGTTCTGCTTCAGACAATGGAGGAGCTTGAAAGGGAAGCTAACAGAAGAGTAACTGCTCTGGAGACAGAGCTAGAGGTAATCGAACATTGAAACCTATGTACTTTCAAAATATTAAATTATCATTATGATAGCTCAAGTGTTGATAGCTGTTGTAGAGTCTTGCTCAACTATATCATATGATCAGGAAGAAAGTTTTACAATACTTTCTCTTAGGTGACCAAGTATGGTAGAATTCATCAGAGGGCAGATTGCACTTGGTCTGTACAAGGTGCAAGCTAAATGTGGAGAATTGGCATTTTTTTCTTCCATGTTTTTAAATGTTTGCGATTTGAGTCAGTAATTTTTTCTCCACTGAAAACCAGTTTATTTCAGTTTGGTGCTCTGCACAATTTGGAACTGCAGAATTTTCATTTTGTTCTTGTTATAATAATCCTTGCATTTGATATAGCACTTTTCACGTCGGGAGGACGTCCCAAAGCGCTTCACAGAACACACTGTAAAGTGAATTGACTGTATATTTGTGGGCGAACGCGGCAGCCAATTGCGCACAGCAATGTCCCACAAACAGTCGTAGATTGAAAATGACCAATTTGTTATTGTTTTTTTTGGTTTTGGAGGGATTATTATTAGGCTCTGTGTGGAGTAAGGAAACTTGCCCAAGGTTTCGCCCTCTGCCTGGAATTGAACTCAGGTCTCTCGCTTGCAAAGCGAGTGCTCTAACCACTGAGCTACAGGACTCCAAGGACTTGTTTGAACATCCTCCAAAGCACTCACGTATTTTTGAATGGACGGAGCTGAAAATTACATACAATATCAAAAGATCTGTACAAGTTGCAATAGCTTGTTTGATTCTCTGAGATGTATTTCATTAGTCTTACTAGCTTCCCATTGATTGGATATTTTCTGTGAATCATGTCTAAATCCTTTCTGCAATTGACATCTCTCCATTGTTTGCCTATATTTCCTGTTCACTATGCTTAGCTTTGTATTTATCTACATTTAAATCCATCTGCCTTTCCTCAGCTTATTCACTTCAATGGTCCAAATCATTCAATGCTACCAATCTCCCTTGTACTTGTCACCAGTGCTTGGTGTCGTTAGTAGTTTTTATGATATGACAAGTACTCAGAGAGCTTGTAAGAGCCCAAGGCGCACTTCTACAAAACACTGAAGTGTTCATTATAATTAACCATAATTAGGACAATTTTCAAATTCATATAATGTGGTTGCTTGATGGCATGTTTTAAGAACTTGTATGTGGAACCACTTTTGAACCTCCACACTTGTTCTAGGAAGGTGGGCTTTTGCCACAGATTAATGCTTTTTTCTTGTGCCAATTTGTTACCTTGCTTTCATTTCTCTGCCTGCTAATATGGTTATTAGCAATGTTCTGCCATACTTTATTGAAATAGAAAACTTGAGAGTACCTTGTTTAAATAGCCCAAGGTTTCCTGTATCATTATAAAACATACTAAATGTTCATTATGACAATTAGGCATTTAAATTGACATAATATTTGAATTGTGGCAGCTGAGCTCATCCTTGAAATTGGGAGCTTTAGTACCTGCTTTCAGCTAACTATTGCTGTTTTTTTTAGTGTAATCTATCAGCAATATTAATGTTGAATAAAATCTTAAGCAGTTGGCTTGTCAGAAATCATTGATCTAACATTAGATATTATTGTACTGTGATAATCCTGTTAGTTCAACATGCATAATGAAGTGATGAAGGTAAAAGTGATCCTACAGGAAAAATCACCTTCCACAATTCTAGTGTTCCACCTGAATCTAATGATAGTCATAATGATATGCTCTTTTTAAAAAAAATCTTGCAACAACTTTTTTTTAAACAGGAAAATAAACTGATCCAGTTCCACATATCAATCTATATATTTTTTGAATGATCAAGCAATTTACTCGTTAATAAACAAGCCTTATTTGGACATAAAACCTGAGGTTATGGACGTCTCACCTTCTGCCCCCTTTCTAACATAAAAGCTACTGGATCATTCAAGTGGTGTAGAACATCTTTGATAGAATAAATATATGCCGAGGACCAAATGTAGACATTCTTGCGTTTGAATTTACATATATTATATGACACTGGGCTGCATTTACGGGTTACTTTGATGTACACAATAGACTATTAAGAATAACCGCATTACACTGTAATATAGAACAAGATTAATTTCTCTGGTTGCATTATGAATGATTTACATTATGAATTACAACTGTTTTTGGTTTCCATCTGTAGTTTTGGTTCATATTTCATTTGTTGGCTTTATTGTCTTTGTTTATCTTCCCTTATCCATCTGTTATGCCTATTCCATATTTCCCTTTGTTATTTTTCATTGCTAACCATTTCCTTTTATTTATTCTTTTGCTGGGAAATGGTACTTTCAGTTTATATTCAGCTGCTGATTATCATAGTAAAGCTTGCAGTGATTATGTTACATTTGTCACTGTTCCATTGGTCATTAGTGGCTGTTGGTAGGAAGAGAAAAGTAATGGAAAATGGTTAAACTGCCCCATGAACCACAGGGTATATTATTTTTAAAAATGGAATTGATCACAAGGAAGTAATCTCATCTGAGGGTTCGGCTGATAGTTGTAAATTGCTTGAACATCTATGAAGTTTTCTGAACGCTTGAATGAGATCAGTCTTGATTACTCCTGGGGAACTTTTTTTAAAAACATGGAGCCAACTCTTCTGATCCTTTTGGCAATTTCTTTATTAGTGTCTATTTAGCCAATCATCCTATACTTTTAAATAAAAAGAATGAATTGAATAGCAATATTTCACCCACAAAATATACAGTCAATTCACTTTACAGTATATTCTGTGAAGCGCTTTGAGACGTCTCGAAGATGTGATAAATCGCTACATCAAATGCAAAGATTATTATTATTATCTCTTTATTTCTTACAAATCACTACCCTTTGTCTTCCTAAACAGTCCTTCCTTGTTCTTTGTTGCTATTGAATTCAACTCTTTTTTTTAAAAAAAAAGGTTCCTACCGCTCGTTTTAGTTTTCTATTTGAAGTTTTCGGTTTGCAATGTCCAGCTGAAAATACCATCAATTTAAGTCTAAATTTAATAAAAATCAAATTGCGGAATACAAGTTGGAATATAATACAACAAATATTGTAAGATGAATAACTGCTGCTGGTGTCCTTTGCTCCTTGGTCATTGATTGCCTATAATCCAAACCACATAGAAAATATATCTCCATAATGTGGATGTTATTTTGCTTCCAGCTAAGTTTTGCCAACCCACTGCATCCAGTGCTAGTGTTCCAAATATGAACTTTTTATATTATCCAAGCACAGAGGAGCAAAGTAGGTGTTACTGTGAATTAAGGCATGGGGAGCCAGTGGAGCCTGGCGAGGGTGGGGGTGATAGGGTCACAGAGCCTGGTGCAGGAGAGGACATGAACTGCAGAGTTCTGGATGATCTGCAGCTTGTGGAGGGAAGAGTTGGGAAGGCCAAGCAGCGAGTTGAGCCTAGATGTGACAAATGCGTGGAAAAGGATTTCGGCGACCTGAGGGGAGAGGTAGTGGCAGAGCCAGACGATGTTGTGGATGTGGGGGAAGGCAGGGCAGGTCGTGGCATGGACTTGGGGTAGACAGGACAGTTGAGGGTCAAACAAAACGCCAAGGTTCCAGACTGGCTCAATGAGGTGGATTGTGCATCCATGGATACAACTCAAATAAGTATATTTATCAGCATCTGGGCAAATCAACACATCCAAGATACAGAAAGGATTAATTGACCAATGAAATAGATTTAAATTTCGTAATTTTTAAAAAAGTAGATTAAATATCTGGTTATTGGTGATCCTTAGTTTCTTTTGCAAAACAATTCAAGGTTACTTCCAAGTGTCTGTCATGCATTGTTCCATCTTAGTGAAAGCTAGCTATCATCCCAATCTGCCAAAAGGAATCAAACCTCAATAACTACAGATTGCTAGTTGTGTCAAAGGTCGGTTCCATGCTGTAAAAAGGTCCCAATCCCAGTGACCTGCTGTTTGTTCACCCATTTGGATTGAAAACGCTCTCAATGTGTTCCAGAAATAGACCAGGATATTGTTAGATCTTGACATTTCTAGAACCTTTAACAGATTATGGCATCTTGGTCTCAAGGAGAATCTGCCCTCTTGTGGCATATCTTGTTAGCTGCTGAACTACAAATGAGACAAATGCAGAAGACACAAAGCTGTGCTGAATGGCATTCTTGTAACAGTTATGTAGGAGTCCCTGAGTAAACTACTAATTGTCTTCAAGAATGAACCAAGGGTTGTCATCCATGTTGGTAATGTTCCCATCCTCCCAAGAAATATTAACTGCCCAATTAAAATTACAGTTGACCTTTGTTTCTGTTGTTCCCAGAATTGTTCAGAAAATGAGTCAGTGTTAATTCAACTTAAGCTTGGAATAAGGTTCTGGTGCACACAGCAGTTTTCTTCTTCCCATTGAACTAAATCCAATAGAGTAACATCTGTCATTCATTCTCATTCCATGGAAGAGGAGCTGATGTTGACACCACATCAACTTGTAGTTTTTCAACTCCTTTTTAAACCCTTCCATGATTTATTTTCAAATAATTCTTGCCAATAACGTCAAACCATCTCAAAATGCTTCATGTTTCTGTAAAGTGGCTGTATGTGTAGGCCACTGTAGTAGCCAATTTGTCTGGAGGATTGTTTCCCAGGATACTCTTCTCTAAAAGTGAATAATAATAATTATAATAACTAAATCAATTGCTCCCAGCAAAGACTTTAAATGTGTGATGTCTCACAAAATGTGGGACATGAAATGCTAATCAGAACTTGCAAAAGTTACAAAATATTTCTGAAATCAATATTCAATTGAGCTGTTTAACCACACTACAGTAAACCAGTATATTGTAATGCTACACATTCTATCCAGAAGTCTATGTTGGAGTGATGCAGCATCAACTGAATTTTAGAGAGATCTGAATTATCCTGTCTCAAAAAGGAACAAGAAAGTTTAAAGCTAACCTCTCTCGATTTGCTGCTCTTGCCTGGTTACCGTTGATTTTTTTGAACATCAAGAAATTGAAAAAATAAACTATTTGTAACAGAAAATATATATATATGTTAGCACTGGAACCGCTTTAATTTTGTGTGGGGGTAAAATAATTTCCTGTGGGGTAAAAATCTTCTACTAATTAATTTTCTGCAAATCATGTAAAATCCTTCCAGAAAAATGCATTTCAGTGCTAAAATGAGTTGGTTTATAACATACACAGCAAATAATCATATCTATTCAATATTCTTTATGTGACAGGAGCATGTTGCTAAGGTAACTGAGTACAAGGAAGAGAACAGTACCCTACTTACAACAAAAGAAAATCTGGCCAAAGAAATTGCTGTAAGTTTTTCTTTGTGATGACTGTGGTTATGTCTGCACCTTTTAATCACTTAATAATGGATATAATTTTTGATTTCTATGGAGTTTTTTTTCTTTCCAGTATGCACCCTTAAAGGCCATCTCCAAGGCTGCTGAAAAATAAGCCCAGTGGGCTCAGCAAATAATGGATGTAAAATCTTTAGCATTTTTATGTAATTACTGTACTTTGTATTATTACCTCGCCTTGGTGCTGTTCAGTGCTGCACAATCAGGCAAAGTGTCAGACGACAGTCAGTGATAATTGGTAGCATTGATCAACGATTATTAGCTGAGTATGCCCGTTTCTGTCCATATTGCAAAACATTATTCACAAAGGAACAAATTACATTAAAGTGAATGAAATAATGAATCCTGCAGGGGAATTTCTTTAGTTATATCTTATATTATTTTTTTCTCATTGCCTAGTGCAGTAAAATAAATATTTCACAATCCAGCAATAAATGGAAGGTCAGAAACAAGATTTGTTTCCCCATATGCTGAAAAAAATTCAGTGATTTGGCATAAATTTAGAGTTAACTTAATTAATATTTTACAATACTGCATGAAAAATAGCTGTTTATATATAACACAGAAACGTGGTATGGTACAATTTATTAAACCTGGAAATTATTATATAGAAGGTTTGCGATCTTTATAATTCTATCCCTGGGTGATTTCTTTTTTAAAACACTTTGTCATTTAGAAAGTTAGCTGTAATAAAAATGCTTTGAAGCAGTTCTTGGACTCGTTATGCATCAGCACAGGTTCCAAAAATCTATACATTTGCAGTTTTGAAGAAAATATTATGCAGTGTATTTACCCACAGTAGTTTTTCTGTTCTTATAATTTGCTTATTTGGACCTTAAAGTAAAGTATAGATTACCTGCGTAACTCTCCACTTTCAACAAAGTCTTACATCTTGAAAAGAATTAGACTCTGTGTGTTCAGATGCTATTAGGTTATTCAAAAGATCTTAACCTGATTTCTTTTTAAATAGAGAATTCTTTTGAGGTAATAAAAAATTACAAAGTGAGGTTGTTGTGCACAGTAGATTGCATTCTGAAACAATCTGCTGGTTCAGTATTGTAAGTCCAATTGAGGACACATATTTGCTAAATATCATCACTGTTTTTGTTGGTCATAGATTACAGCAGGTGTAGCCAGATGGGGAACAAAAGCCCCAAATTTATCTTTAAACATCAATAGTGTTGTCAGATGCAGAGAGGTTTCTGTATCTGGGTATGAACTGTTTTTTCATGTTTTCAGCTCACAGACATTTATACCAGTATTCATTTGAAGTTGCATGTCCTTAGGCCTGAGGTCTTTTGGTAAAGTTGTTGAGAATTTTGAGGTGTTTACTGCAATGAAATGACAAATTTTCCATTCTTGTGAGAGATAAAATCAGGGACGTGACTAAGCTGAAAAAACAAGCTTGATTTGCATAGAAAAATATGTGTGGTATGTAAAATTGTGTGAATTATCCTATTTTATGGCTTCTTGGATGTCAAATGACCAATTAGCGTCTTATCAAAAAGGTTGGCCACCACTAGTCTAGACTGACACTCCAGTGCAGTGGTGTGGCTGTACTGTCACAGGTGCTGATGATATGATAAGATTATGTCTGCGCCCTCCAGTGGAATTAAGTATCCTGTGGAACTATTTTGAAAAGAGAGGGGAGTTTCTCCTGGTATCCTGACAATATTCCTCCAGATAAATTGATCATTCACTTTATATGGCTGTTTGTGGGACAGTGCTGTGCACTCGTGGTTCCAATGTTTGCCTACAAATGTACAGTTACTACACTTTACAGAGTACTTATTACTCTTCATCTCTGAAGAGTAATAAGTGCTATATCAAATGCAAGGATTATTATAGCTACTAACTTTCATTATCCATCATGTTGACATTTTTTCAAACGTGAAAGGTCCTCCTTAAGTGCAAATTGTTGTCATGATGTGCGCAATTGGCTGCCGCGTTCGCCCACAAATATACAGTCAATTCACTTTACAGTGTGTTCTGTGAAGCGCTTTGGGACGTCCTCCCGACGTGAAAAGCGCTATATCAAATGCAAGGATTATTATTATGATAAATAATAATAATCCTTGCATTTGATATAGTGCCTTATGTCCTTGAGATGTCTCAAAACGCTTCAAAGAATATACTGTAAAGTGAATTGACTGTATATTTTGTGGGTGAAACACGACAGCCAATTGCGCACAGCAGTGTCCCACAAACAGTCATGAATTGAAGTGACCAATTGCTTTTTTAAAAAAGGAGCTATTACTCCCGGAAAAGCGATCCGCCAATCAACTAACAACCAGGTTCCTACTTACTGCTAGGTAAACAGAGGCGTGTGAAGTAAGGAAACTTCGCCAACATTTCGAATCCAGGTCTCTCGTTAGGGCGAGTGCCCTAACCACTGAGCTGTAGGATTCCAGTTCTAAGATTTATTCATGATCATCTTTTGTGGACAACTGTAATATCATTGGTATGATAGGAAGATTGCAGAAGAAACCATGCCAGTGGTCCACTGACTGCAATATCATCTGTTTAGCTGTTCATGATATGTTCTCTCTCAACAGTTATCCATATATTCCAGTGTGTGTAATCAAGGTACCTTAGCGGCAGGTTAATGAAAACTACATTCAGCCAAGGATCTAATTTGTGCTACGTGCATAATGAGTCCACACTCACAATACATACTTAAGCAGATTAATGGTCCATATTCTTTCCTAAGAAATCATTAATTTAACTGGGTTAAGGTGCTATTGTGCATGAGAGCACCAGAGTGTTCAGTCACCTGTCAGATTTATTTGTGCAGTGTAGGAAGGTCACACATCTCCTGACCCGGGAGGAGGAAAGGGGAGAGAGGAAAGAAATTGTATGGGACATTCTTACAGGGCTGTCTGTCTGTACATCTTCTGACAAGTTGATCCAAGTAGAAAAATTGTGAGTGGCATCTGCATTTAAAAAGGACTCTCAAAGAAAAGGATAGCTGTAAAAACCTAGAGTCGTAATGTGGGAAATGCACAATTTAATAGGGATCTGTCTTCTTTTATGGAAACTATTTATTCTTCCTTTAATTGAAGCAAAGTTCCTGACAGGACATATGATTATTTTGATGGGACTTGGGTCAAAGAGGGAGGAGACTGTATAAAAAGAAAGGTACAGTTGATAAAAATGCAGATGGTGGAAATCTGTATTAAAAACAGGGGGAAATGGACAGAGTATGATTGATCTTGAATACAAGCCCAGCATTTTCTATGCATTTCCTGTTTTAATGTGACTGGCATTGAGTTACATGCATCATGTCTCATGCATACTTCAGATACCAGTTGATACCAGCATTCATTTTAGAATGTTACAGGTCGGTATCATCTGCTATGTTGTTGGATCTACACTGCATCACTGCATTAGACATTTTTATGTCTTAAGTTGATGAAAAACCTGAATTATAACTGATGATCCCCTTTCCATGCATCCAACCTGGCATCAGAATAAAGCAATGAGTAAACCACTTCCAAAACGTTTGTGAATGGAAAGTCTGAATTTCATATCACCCAAGACATTATTATACAATTTCTTTGCTGCCTCACATAAAACTGAAATGGAACACGAGATCTAATGTGTGGGTATTATTCATAATTGTGCAGACAGTGTCAAAAATCTGCTCACTTGTTTGTATTTTATGAAGCTGAGCAAACGATGGTTCATCGGTTAGGACACTATCTACATTGCTGCTAGGTGGTAAAGGGAAGCCTTGTGCAAGATATTAATGAACATTTTGAAGGAACAATAGCTTATGAATGTGTTAATTGCAAGCATTTTGCATAAGCACCCTTTTTAAGGCAGTCAAATTGGTATTGGGTTTGACTGTGAAAAAGGAATATAGATTTTTGAATATTAGTGTTTAATTTCCTTCCTCATTCCTGATCTGGGGCAATTCACTCTTTAGGTTTTTGTGGATCATATTTTCACTTCCACTTCATTTTATTGAATACAAAGTTTTTCTTGTTCTAAAATGTTCTCCAGCTCAATGTCCTAAGGTTTTGCCAATCAGTTTTCAAATTTGTAAATGTCTGATATCTAAGCTTACAAGGCTGACTTTTGAAAAACGATTTTTTTCACAATTACTGTATTGCTGGGGTACTACTTGCTTTAACCAGCATAACTGTTTTGGATATTGAATCAGCTTGTAGATATCATTCGATAATATTTACATGATGTGTCTCTGCAAATGTGTAATGCTCACTGTTGAAGAGCTGAGACATGTGGAACACAAGAAGTATTGTTTACTAAAATATTTTTTTTTTATCTACACACTGCCAACTTCAAAGGTTAGTTTAGTCATTTACAAAATGGGATTTTTTCCATTCAATACTTCAAAATATATTTCGAAATTAGAATTACTGAAATGGTTAAATTAATTCCTACCAAATACTAGCCCCACAATGGTGACAATTAATATTTCCATTATTGGTCCCTAGTTGTAAGACTAATGGAATGCCATTAACAAAATTGTCATTAACTGTGGTCATTATTTGGCCATTACAGTGGTATCATTGCAGCACTGTGAAATATTGCCATTAGTCAATATTCAATCTCTTTTGATGTGATATTTATATGAAACATTATAGTGTAATAAATAATGTATTGAGAATTTCACATTTGATGTATTAATGAAATATTTTTGACAAAATGGCAATAGAAACAAATCATTAAGAATATTTCTAAATAAACTACATTATTATTTGTGTGGGACATCAAAGTACAAATGGAGTTATTTGGTGAGCAACACCTAGGACCTGAACATCAGAAACACTTTTTTTCTGGAAGGAAAAAACACTTTATATCAATCTAGACTATAACTGAGGAATAGATCAGAGGTAAAATTGTATTGATTTTTTAAAAAATATATTGGAAATTAGATGCAGAATAAATTTAATTTAAAACTCAATGGAAATTGTTTCAATAACTTAGTT